GCAGGAATGAGGGCCCTGCCAGCCCCATCCCTTCTGTGATTCAGAGGTTTAGTCCCAATTGCTGTAACTGGCAGCTCTGTGATCCACCATGCTGTGATGCATTCAAATACAGAAGCTTTGGGTTGGGAAAAGTCTCCCTTGATTCTGCAGTAGGGGAATAGTCTGACTTTTAGCCAAGCTGCTACCCAACTGGGACAGAGATTGTTTTCAAAAGTTCTGACTTCTAGAGGACAAATCAGCACCTCAGTAGATCAAAGTTGTATTTGAAAATTTTGCCAACTTAGGAGTTTCCACCTCAGTTATTCAGTTCTTTTCTGTACGTGGAAGAAAGCCTGATGTTAAAATACACCCTTGTTGTTTTTTTTCCCCCCTCAACTTTATTAACCAGCTTCATTACAGGATATACACTGAATCTTTGTATGTAGTGTTTGAGAAATCCCCCTAACAAGGACAGAGTAAGTGACCTAGTAGTAAAGTCAGCTTTGTGTTTGGGAATTGTAAGTTGTCAAGGGTCCTCCACTTCATCAGCCATTTCTTCTTCTACCTCCTTGGTCTCCATCCTGCTGTGATGAATTTGCTCTGGAGCCAGGGTTCTGCTCACAGGAAGGCCAACTCCTCGGTGAACTGCCTCAAGGGTCTGCTGAGGCACGTAGTAGTTCAGGTTCATGGGTGGAATCTTCTTCTGCATCTCTTCTAGACAGCGGTAAGCCTAAAGCAGAGCACAGAGATCACTTGTGGGGCTTGTGCTGTTCCAGCAAAACAGTGAAATGTGTCCAACACGTGTGGCTGAGCTCTTGACACGAGCTCAGTGTTGAAAGGTGCCAACACAGCCGGGAGTTGTAGCCTTTGCTAACACAGGATCACAGAATTATTTTCGTTTTGGATCATTGGGTCTAACCATTCACCCAGCACTGCCAAGGCCACCACTAACTCATGTCCCCCAGCACGATGTCTACATGGTTTTGAAATCCTTCCAGGGATGGGGACTCCAGCACCTCCCTGGGCAGCCTATTTCAGTGTTAATTACCATTTCAGTGAAGACGTTTTTTCTAATATCCAATCAAAACCTGCCCTGATGCAACCTGAGCCCATTTCCTCTTGTTCTATCATTTGTTTCTTGGGAGAAGAGACTCACCATTCCCCCCCCCCTCTATAACCTTCACTGGCACCAAGGTCAGGCTCACAGGCCTGTAGTTTCCCAGATCCTCCCTCTGGCCCTTCTTGTAAATGGAGGTCACATTTCCCAATCTCTAGTCAGCTGGGACCTCCCATTACCCAGGACTGCTGGTATATGATGGAGAGAGGCTTGGTCAGCACTTCTGCCAGCTCCCTTAGTCCTCCTGGGTGGATGCCACACAGCCCCGCAGACCTGTGTGTGTCTAAGTGGTGCAGCAGGTTGCCGTCATTTCCCCTTGGATTATGGGGGCTCGGTTCTGCTCCCCATCCCTGTCTTCCAGCTCAGGGGGCTGGGTACACCAGGAACCACTTTGTCCTATGGCTAAAGAAGGCATTAAGTATCTCACCCTTGATGACCTTTCAAGGTGCCTTGTGTCAGTTCTAGCTTGTTCAGTTTTTTAAAAAAGGGGTCTCAAAGGCTGGTTTTACATTGTCCCACAGGCTGAAGTACCACCGTAAAATCAGAGTCAATCAGCAGGGCTGGAGAGCCTCGTGCTCAGCATCCTACACTTTGTACCAGCGCAGGTCCAAACCCTGCTGTGGGCTTGTGGGACTTCTGCCCTGAAAGTAGGAGTCACCAGCTCCTCAAATTACTGCCATGTTACACATTTCTCTGCTTCTTGGTCAGATGGCAAATTAAGTACAGTGTGTTTGCTGAGACACACACCCAGACTCTTCTGGTCTTGGCTAATAACTGGGAATGTTTAAGAATCCACCACTATTTATGCTCTATTCTCCCATGAGCTTTATTTTTCTCTTTAGCCCCATGAAATGAAAAATATGTAAATATGGCTGTAGTTCCTGAGGTCTACCACACCCCCCTGAGAAGTTTAGCTCCTGTAAGGAAGTCTCTACTATGGAATGTCATCCTGTACAAAAGAATCACGCTATACCACACTGCATTGGTGTTTGTAATATACAGGCTCTGTAGATTGGAAAAATTAATTACCAGATGGAATTCCTCTACTCGGACGTAATGTTCCACCAGGAAGCCCAAGATGTCACCGTGACGGATGGCATTGTCAAGATCTGGTTCAGCCAGGAGAAGTTCACACTGTCTGACTGCTTCTTTGGGATCTTCAGAGTAAACTCTAGTAAAAGAGCAAGAGGAAACTGTGAACAGGCTGGGGGAGTGTGCCGCTAGTCATGTGAAGCCCAAGGAAGAACATTTTACTCTGTGTCCTATGATCACTCTTCTGACAGAGCTTTCCCTGGTCAAGTCGCTTATATTCCAGGTTACCTTTTCATCTTTAGTGTCAGCAGCACTTTTAAAACATCATATAGCTTTGTGTTTGGGAATTGTAAGTTGTCAAGGGTCCTCCACTTCATCAGCCATTTCTTCTTCTACCTCCTTGGTCTCCATCCTGCTGTGATGAATTTGCTCTGGAGCCAGGGTTCTGCTCACAGGAAGGCCAACTCCTCGGTGAACTGCCTCAAGGGTCTGCTGAGGCACGTAGTAGTTCAGGTTCATGGGTGGAATCTTCTTCTGCATCTCTTCTAGACAGCGGTAAGCCTAAAGCAGAGCACAGAGATCACTTGTGGGGCTTGTGCTGTTCCAGCAAAACAGTGAAATGTGTCCAACACGTGTGGCTGAGCTCTTGACACGAGCTCAGTGTTGAAAGGTGCCAACACAGCCGGGAGTTGTAGCCTTTGCTAACACAGGATCACAGAATTATTTTCGTTTTGGATCATTGGGTCTAACCATTCACCCAGCACTGCCAAGGCCACCACTAACTCATGTCCCCCAGCACGATGTCTACATGGTTTTGAAATCCTTCCAGGGATGGGGACTCCAGCACCTCCCTGGGCAGCCTATTTCAGTGTTAATTACCATTTCAGTGAAGACGTTTTTTCTAATATCCAATCAAAACCTGCCCTGATGCAACCTGAGCCCATTTCCTCTTGTTCTATCATTTGTTTCTTGGGAGAAGAGACTCACCATTCCCCCCCCCCTCTATAACCTTCACTGGCACCAAGGTCAGGCTCACAGGCCTGTAGTTTCCCAGATCCTCCCTCTGGCCCATCTTGTAAATGGAGGTCACATTTCCCAATCTCTAGTCAGCTGGGACCTCCCATTACCCAGGACTGCTGGTACATGATGGAGAGAGGCTTGGTCAGCACTTCTGCCAGCTCCCTTAGTCCTCCTGGGTGGATGCCACACAGCCCCGCAGACCTGTGTGTGTCTAAGTGGTGCAGCAGGTTGCCGTCATTTCCCCTTGGATTATGGGGGCTCGGTTCTGCTCCCCATCCCTGTCTTCCAGCTCAGGGGGCTGGGTACACCAGGAACCACTTTGTCCTATGGCTAAAGAAGGCATTAAGTATCTCACCCTTGATGACCTTTCAAGGTGCCTTGTGTCAGTTCTAGCTTGTTCAGTTTTTTAAAAAAGGGGTCTCAAAGGCTGGTTTTACATTGTCCCACAGGCTGAAGTACCACCGTAAAATCAGAGTCAATCAGCAGGGCTGGAGAGCCTCGTGCTCAGCATCCTACACTTTGTACCAGCGCAGGTCCAAACCCTGCTGTGGGCTTGTGGGACTTCTGCCCTGAAAGTAGGAGTCACCAGCTCCTCAAATTACTGCCATGTTACACATTTCTCTGCTTCTTGGTCAGATGGCAAATTAAGTACAGTGTGTTTGCTGAGACACACACCCAGACTCTTCTGGTCTTGGCTAATAACTGGGAATGTTTAAGAATCCACCACTATTTATGCTCTATTCTCCCATGAGCTTTATTTTTCTCTTTAGCCCCATGAAATGAAAAATATGTAAATATGGCTGTAGTTCCTGAGGTCTACCACACCCCCCTGAGAAGTTTAGCTCCTGTAAGGAAGTCTCTACTATGGAATGTCATCCTGTACAAAAGAATCAC